TGGACTATTACTCAGCCATTAAAAAAGAATGAAATCTTGCTGTGATGGATGGTCCCAATGGGTATTAAGCTAAGTGAAATAAGTCAGACAGAGAAAGACAAACACCGTATGATTTCACTTATATGTGGAATCTAAAAAAACAAAACAGACCCACAGATACAGAAAACAATCCGGTGGTTGCCAGAGGGGAGGAGAGGGTAAGGAGGTAGGTGAAATAGTGGAAGCAGTTTAAAAGGTACAACTTCCATTTACAAAATAAAAAGGTGATACAATATACAGCATAAGGAGTATAGTTAATAACATGTAATAATTTTGTGTGGTGACATAGTAGCTAGATTTATCGAGGTGATCACTTCATAATGTATATGTGTTGAATCACTATGTTGTACACCTGAAACTAATATAATTTAACATGTCAACTGCACTTCAATTAAAAAAAATCAACAGCTGTATTCTCAAAGACTTTAGCTCTCTACTCTCTTCCCACATTTTATAGTCTCTTAACTGAATAAAAAACATCAGGGCAATGAAGAGAGGAAATACATTGGAATGCAAGAGATTTGTACTAAAACTCAAGTTAGAAGTTTATGGGTTTGGGAGGTTTGTTTTTCTTATGTAAATTAAATAATCTTCTGAACAACCACACACACACATTGTAAACCAGAAAGGAGAAGAAAAGGCCAAATAAACCAGTAAAAAGGAGTAGCCTTCACCAGTTATACACTGTTGTGCACAATGATATCCTTATCATTGCAAAACTAGTTTTTACATGGTTTTTGTCACTGTGCTCACTGCTCTGTGTGCCTTATCTTTTTGGTCTTTCTGTACAGACCTTCCTATATATCTTCCTAGTTCATGAATTTATCCTTTGAAGACAATGATGTATTTCATTAGACTGTTTAATCATTCCCTGGCAATTCAGTTATTTTCTAGCCTAATAGAACTCTAAGCATCTTGGCAGAAACATTTTATTTTTAGTTATTTTTTGGGAGCTATATTTTGAAGTGATGTTATTACTATGGTCAAAAGATATAATTAATTAAACAATCCTTGGACATATTTTCAGCTTGCTTTCAAAGATTATACTATTGTAACACCACTAGCACAATCTAAGGACAAACTTGATTCCCCATTACCTCATAGTATTTGGTTTTGTCATTTTTATCTACATATGAATTTAATAAATACAAAAGAAATGAAAATTTCTTTTTTTCCTAATTGTAACACATAATTATTGTAGAATGCTTAAAAATAAAGAAAATATAGAGAAATCCCAGCATCTGGAGATAAGTATTGTTTTACTTAAATGAGCTCAGTTTTTTGTATGAGGGTCCATGATGGGAGGAAATGTTTATCTCTGAATACTTTGAGAAGTTAAAGCCAGGTTTATCCACACCCTGTGACCCACAAGCATAGTTGAGCAAAATCCCATTTTTCCCTAAAAGTCATCCTTCCTCTACCCTTGATTTAGGAGGGATGAGAGTCTGAAGGTCAAATTTAAAAGGCCAAAAGGAAGCAGCTGAGAGAGGTGGGAGGTGCTTCGTAAATTAAAGTGTTGAGAATCAACTCTTAAACAGAATTTTTCCTGAAAATAGTATTACAGAGGACAGGAAATCCTGTTTTTTACTTGACGTTTGGGACCTAACTTACTTTTTCCTTTAAAAAAAATGTCCAGAGAGAAGAAACTCCACAGACTACTGGATAAAATCCCCAAACTCTTATTCTCTTATTGCTTCATGTTGATGTGTTTGGTTTATGGATTCACAGAGAATATTTATGGTGTGTTCTCACTAATGAGAGTTTCTACAGTCAGCTGACAGGAAGGAGGAGGACTTGTTGGGTGGGGTGAGGCCAAAGCTCTAGGAAATTCCAGAAAGTCTTCCAGTGTGTTTTCTCTCTTCTCTTAACAGATTATGATGATTAGGCTCTGTTAGGCATCTGAGTAAACAGGCTGAAATGTGATAAAAATGTTGCAGAAGGGTATTTCAGTATCAGAATTCCTGTGTTTTTTCTTTCTGTGCTCTTCTACTTCCTTGAGAAATATTGGAGGAAACCCCTCCTTTTTCCTGTAACTCAAATTGCCACTTGTAAAATGAAGATCATAAAATTCATCATAAATGCACTTGAAATCTTGTTATTCTTAATATTTGAGTGGTTTGGAGGAGAAAAGGTACTGAAAAAAACACTTTGTGCTTCACCTGGGATCTCATTAAAAGCCCTTTCATCTCAGAGTTGTATTCTTCCTCAGAACCAGTGTCAGTACAGCTTTGATCTCCAGAGATTCTTCTGTTTTTCTCCAAGCCCAAATAGCTTTGCACTTCACTTTTTTAATACTTAAAATTACTTAACCCAAAGGTTTAAATAAAAAGCTAGGAAAGGTGGGAAATTTTATACCTCTGCAATGAAAGAAAGCCTCTACACTGGCTTTCTGGTTCTACGTGGTCTTGCTCCCAGTACTATCAGTGCAGGGACCTCCCATGAGACAGAGAGGGTTGTGAGGGTTGTGACTACAAGCACAGATGGAAAACTGAACTTTCTATGGGTTGAGACATGTAACACATACTCTTGGAATTATCCTTCGACTTTACCTTTGACAGAATGTAAATATTTGACATATTGCTTCATTATTAACCTATTCCCTTTCGGTCAAAAAAAGGTATAGTATTTCCAGGCTTTTCCCCTTTTTGAGCCCTGAAAATTCTAGTTCTTACAGTGATCATCGTACAGTACAGCAGCATTTGGAATGAATCTTTGGAATTTTCTTTAATTATCTGCAAAAAGAAATGTTTTTTAAACAAAAATGTGGATGGAGGGTATCTTGCTGAACTTTTCGCTTTAGCTAATGACCTTTATTTTTAGATTTTTAGATGGGGGCTGCTCCCGGAGCAAGAGTATGTTGCATCATATGAGTCATGTGGATGTAGTTAATGTTGGTGCAACTGACCTGAATTATGATGGAGCAAAGTTAGAGCTACTACAGCTTATTTTGGTTTTTATTAAAGTAGATTTGATTAATAATGTAAATAGCAGAGGTGACTGGAGATAAATTATATTAAATGTAGATTGAATTTGCAAGAAAGTGTATTCTTATTGGTATGGTACAAGCAAACCAATCCTTGGCTCTGATTTTTGGGATGGCATGTTTTTATCTCCAAGGGGGAAAACTTGAAAAAGTGATAGTTCACTATCTTAAACTTTGCTGTGGAGTTGATTAGTCCGTTGAACTTAAAGGTTAATAACTATCTATTAATGTTGAATTCAAAAGGATACTAAGTGTTTTATCTCCGGTCATATTGGATTTCAGATACCTTTCCTGCTTTAAGTTTATCTGGAAATAAATTGAGATTTGAATGATAGGATCAAGTTGAAGACTCTCATTACAAGCTGAATAAACATGACATACTCTCTGTGTACTGTGTGTGGGAACATTCTGTGACACTAAGTGGCTTTCTCTTGAATTACTTTTCCAGTCTTAAAAATTATAATTTGCAACTTTAAGTAGATATCTGCTTTAGATATGAGAAACACAAATGTAGTAATTTATGGGAATCTCAAAATACTTTATTCAAAAAAATCTGTACCCATCCACTTTTCTATAAAAAAACCTTTTTTTAAAGCATTGTCTCTGCCCTCAGTAGGCTTTCAGTCTAGCAGAGAGACACATGACAATTTGATAAGAATTGTCACAGAAGTGTGACGACCAGTACCTTGAGGACAGAAGGCTTACTTAGATTTATGTGGGAGTGGTAAGGCAGACTTTCCAGAGGAAATGTTGCTTCTCTTACACTGAGTCTTGAAGGAACAGGCATTTGCTAGACAACAGAGGATAAAACAGTTATCTGGGTAGAGGGAACTCAGGTATAGTGTGTCTTGCCAATAGATTTCAGCCACAGGCAAGTTCACTATGAAGTCAATGTGACCAAAGAAATGACAGTAGAATGTTCTTGGGGCGAAAGGGTTATACTCAAATTTATTCCCACGATGGCAGGTCATTCACTAGAATCTGTCCACTCAGAGCAAGTCTGCATACAGCAAGCCGGTCTCTGCCTCTGAGCCTCTCTGCTGCCACATCCGTCTCAGTCTCTGTCTTCAGTGCTGGCACCACTTCAGTCTCATCTCTGCTGTCCTATAGCCTTGCAGCCATGCCACTGCATCGCCCAGAGCACTGGGCAGAGCTCTTTACATAGAGTCAGTAACAACGTACTGCCCACACATGTGTAGTGAGCTAGCCAACCAAGGCCAGCTGAGAATCCTGGCCACAGGAACCTTCACTTTAACCACACAGTGTCATGGTCCTCACGGCAGTTTGCTTTTCCTGGAAGGTAAAGGTTGAGGAAGACAATACCTAGAGAGGGTAGCTAGGGACCAGATCGAGAACTGCTCTTCTGTGACATACTACACACTTTAGATCTGATTCAAGAATTATTAGGAATCCTTTAAGAATTTTGAACAAAAGAGTAACATAGCTTTATATTTTGGGAAAATTACTTTGTATTACTTGAGATAATGGCAGCATCATGAGACTTGATAGGAAGGTGTAGAAAAACCAATTAGAAAGGTAATGTGACAGTCCAGGGAAAAGAAGATACTGACATGAACCAAGGCAATAGCAACAGGGAAGATGGAAAAGGGAAACGGGAGATGCTGCCTCCAAGACTGTGCCGTAGGGAGATATGTCAGCGTCATCCAGGACATGAGGATTCTCCTCCAATGGCTGTTTAAATTACAAGGCTTTCTCATTAACCTGGTTAGGCAGTGATCATTAGCAGAGAGGATTAGCTATATAGAGAGTTACTTATTTTTCCCTGGGCACCTGTGAATATGTAGTGCTTGCTATTTATACTAAAAACACATTCTGCGGAATATAAAAATTAATACAAAATCTCATCTCTTCTGGATTTTATTTATGAAGGAGATTTGCAGTCCTCCTTTTGGAACATTGAATGAAGATTTCCCACCTTCTGTACAAAGCTTACTATTGGGTTTTGTTTTCCAAATAGGTCCTTCGAACCCAAGGCCGAAGTGCAGGTGGAAGGAGGATCTCTGAAAACAGCTGTTCTCTGGACGATTTGGAAATAGGCCCAGGTAAGCAGAGAGTTCCGTATGTGCGACATTTTACAGAAAGTACTCACTTGTAGCAATACCTTTGGCCTCAAAGCCAATGCTTTTAAAGGAAGAGTGGCACAAATTAAAAAGGAAATCTGATACAAACCATTATCAAATCTCATTGCTCTCTACAAATAGATTCTCTGTATTTTTAATCCGTCCTTTTCAGTGGTAACCTGTGATAACCAAAGGGTACCTTTATGCATTTACAAAGCAAGTTCTACTGACACTTTTGGCTCTGTGCTCCTGTGGGGCTTGAGGTTTCCCATGGGTGGGCAGGTTCCTCTGTCAAGATTGGTTAGCCTGTATTACCAGTGATAACATAATGCCTTGAGAGTGGAATTATGTTTTGAAGGGGACATATACAGGCATTTACCAAAGGAAAAAATAATAAAGTGGAAAATCATCAGCCTCCTAATAATCCAATAAATGCAAATAATTAAAATGGCATTGAGATCTATTTTTTTCACATATTAAATAAGCCAAATTTTTAATATATATAATACTTAATTATGGTAAGCATTCTCCTTTTAATGTTGAGAAAGTGAGTGAATATTACCTGTAAATGACAGTTATATTCCCAGTCTCCTCCTTTGTACATTTAATAGAAGAAATTAAATTTGAATAGCCCAAAATTTAGAGTCTTGAAACCATTCAAGTCACATTTTATCTTCTCATAAAACATTGTTTGGATACTTTCAGGTCAGTTGTCATCTTCTACGTTCAACTCAGAGAAAATCGAAAGCAGGCGAAATCTGGAGTTGCCACGCCTGTCAGAAACCTCCATAAAGGATCGAATGGCCAAGTATCAGGCAGCTGTATCCAAACAGAGCAGTTCCAGCAACTATACAGTATGTGTTCTGCATCATTCATTCATTCACCCATCCAGCAAAAGGTCACTGAGCACAAGAACTAGAAATGTCCCCCAGGCCCTGATGTGGGAGCCGTGCCTCCTTCCATGGTCCCCAGCCGTTCTTTCACAGAAATCCTACCCTACCCTCACTGGTAATCCTGACTTTGTCTTCCTAGGCCTCATGCCCACTCCATTCATTTTCTAGTGATGTTACCATCCAGTAATGTCCCTGATAGTTTTCCTATCTCTTCTACTTAAGTTTCTTGTTCAAGAAGTAGTATCTTGTTAATTTTAATGGAGACACTTATTTTTGTTCCTGAGAGAGGAAAGAAAAAAACTGGAGAGAAAGCAGATCTATTCAACATTAATGTAGGGTGGGTTGTTTTTTTTTTGCAATTTATGAATGTATAATTCAAGGACATAAAATCACCATTTTTGAACTCCACAATTCAGCAGTGATATTTCATATAGTCACAAGGTTGTACAACCATCACCACTAATTCCAGAATATTTCTGTCACCCCCAAAAAAAAACCCATACCTGTGTCATCACTCCTAGGTCCTCCCTCCCTTCATTCCCTGGCAACCACAGATCTACTTCCTATCTTCATGGATTTGCCTATTCTGGACATTACATATTAATGAAACCATACAATCCATGGTCTGCTTAATCTTCCCTCCTTATGATGTAATGGTTTTCTAAAGAAATAGAATAATGGATAAGAAAGGCAGGGCAGGGAATGACAGGAAGGTAGCATACTCAGTAAACACAAAAATTTAGTTTTCTAAACAGAATGGAGGGTTTTTCCATTTTATACTTTCCTAGACTTCACTGGCAAGTGGACACTACAGAACTGCTTCATTGAAGTTTCCTTTTAAATACCATTTATTTATACCTACTCACTAGTATATACCCATGTACACATACATAATATAAGTATCTTTCCAACATTTGTTCCAAGATTTCAAATTACAAGCCATTAATCTCTTGATGTCCTATTTTTTAACAAAGTTGGAGGAACAGTATTGAATTTTATTTGTTCCCAGGCAGACTGAAACTGATGCCTACTAGAAATCATAATATGTATTCCAGGAGTGGAGTCTTCCTTTCCCCACATTAGGAAGTATGCATTCTCTAGTATTTATTGGTGGGCTAAGTCTCTAAGGCAATAATAATTTCACCTTGATTTTTCACTGTAGTTTTAAGAAGAGATGATTGTGTAAATCAATAGGGAAGTGGAACATCACAGGTTCATTATTCACTGTGAGTGTGAAAAATGAGCTAATTTAGACATTTCTTAAGAAGCAGGCCAGGGGATACAGCCCATAGATGATCTGTGGAGCTTAATTCCCTCTTGTTTTAGGATTTTGCTGCTCTGGAGTGCTCTCCTGCTATAAACATTCTGACCAGGTGACTGTAAGTGGAAAAACCTGTTCAGTGACTTTTTAAGAAACTCCTAATAGAGTTTTTGCATTGCAGTTTCCTGCTCTGTAAACTTGAAGAGTTGAAAACGCTTTAGGAATTCTTGTAAAAAGTACATTTTATCTCATTTCTAAAGAATTTCTTAGGCCCCTCACAGAGGGTGGTTGTAACAAGGCACACGCTTTCTGGCAGTGATTCTGGAGGCCAGGGTCAGGAATGCATTGCTGGGCAGTGCTGGGATGCACAGCGCGGGCTGCCGGCTCCCCACTGCATAGTCGCACCCTCAGAGCTCTATGCCTTAATCTGTAACTCCATACCTGAGTCAGTCAGGCCCACTCACACTCTCTTCATTGGCCCTCTGACCATAAATGACTTGTTTTCTCCCCATGCCTAAAGAATCACAGAGAATAGAAAGGTACTAGATCACAAGCAGACTAAAGGTAGGAAGTGTCCATACTCATCTACCGCTATATTGATTTGGGGTCTGGTAGATAAAGTCCATTTTAATATTTTGCCCCAAGTGCTCTTTGCAAGGAAAAAAAATGTAGTCCTGTTTATTTCTTATGACAGTACTAAAGCCTGCTTTTTTATATTGAGGCTCTGTTATGAGAAGTAGAATAAGGTATGTCTTTAGTACAATGTATGAATCTCGTGCAAAAAATGTGTTTTTGAAAGGCTCAAAAAAAGGTTATTTTATGGTATTAAATATAGTTTCAGCTTTCATATGTATGCATCATCCCTGTCTCTCTTTCCAGGCCGGGCATTTAGATATATGGTCAGTATATTTTCTTAATTATTGGCACTTGGCATATCCTTTCCCCTGCTCCAAAATGGTCTTTTCTGATAAAACTCACAAGCTTTGCATTCCCACAAGCTGCGCTGCTGGAAGTGTGAATCACAAGAATGTTGTGTGCTGGGGTGGTTTCTGCGTGTGTCTGTGTCCGTGTGTCTGTATTCTAATGAGCATCCAGTTTTAGACTCCTGTATACACATCTAACTCTGAGGTATGTCTCCACAAAGCTGCTTTTGTCATCTCACTAGTTAATGGGTGTTGCTTGTGAGAGTTGGAGGGTTAATTTGACCTGAGGCCTCTTAAAGGAACTTCTTTTTTAACATTCCACGGTTGTTTAATTGATAAACTATTAAGAGAATAGAATAGTGATTTCTTTTTTAATTCATAGACTATTTTTATTTTGTAGAATGAATTGAGAGCCAATGGTGGTGAAATCAAAACTCATAAATTAGAGCAAAAGGAGAATGTGCACCCAGGTCCCGAGGTCTGCAGCTCCCATCAGGATGGTGAAAAGGTGGGTTGGAAACTCTGATGTCCAGTTGCCAGGGACGCATGTGTTCTAAATTAGGTGCCTAAAATTAGAAACAACTCTAACTCTAGGCTGCACAGTGTCTGGGAATTTGGTAACAGCTGCCAGGACAGATTGTCATTTTTGCAGGTCACATAATTTTGGTTGGGGAGCTCTGCGACTTATATCTGCCCAGATAATGCACCTTCACTGGAAAATTCTTTTGCTTAGCTAATGCTCAGATGGCAATGAGCTAAAGTGATTTTTAAAAATCTTTTTGATTAGATATTCTCTCCAAAATATTTATATATTCTTAATTTAACATTTTATGCAAGAAAATTTCATTCTTTCACTCAAAGTATTTTGAAAGCGATGCACTATGCTAAGCACAGGAAATGCTAAGCTTAAAAATGAAATACAAACAAACCCTTCTGTGTGGTCTTTATCTGCAAGAAAGCTAACAGAGTAAAAGGGAAATGAGTAACAGGTTGGCTATCATAAGGCAGTGTGACAAGTGCCAGGAGAGGGCCAAGCATGGAAGCTCAGTCTGAGGACACTTAACCTGACTTACTTAAGAAGGTGATATCTGAGCCACGTCTTAAAGCATGTGTGGAAATAGGCCATGTGAATAAGGGAAAAGTTGAGTAAAGAAAAAGAAGGGCTCTCTGGGCAGACAACAGAGGTTTGGAAACCAGAGATTCAAACTCAGATGCCTTAGCTGCAACATGAGGTACATATAGGCGATGGTGAGAGACAGGTAGAGGGAGAGGGCCAAGGCAGGTCTTGGAAAGCTTTATATGCCACCCCAAGGGTTTGGATGTAGTCCTACAGAGAGAAAACCATGGAAGATTTTAAGCAAATAAGATTTGTGTTTTAATGCACTTAACATTAGATGAGTGGCTTAGTTAGAGTGAGTAACAGTATGTCAGGTGAATTTATCATTTTCTTTGCCAATCCATTATCCAGCCTTTTTTGTCTTTCAGTCAATATGATAAGCAAATATTTAGTTGAGGAAAAAGAGCTTTCAAATCTATTACAGTGATTAATCTTAGGAGGAGAAAAATCATTGCTTCTGTTATACATATTGACACCCTTGAGACCCCTCTTCCAAAAGGTGGGGAGATCATTAAAATAGGCTAAGAGTAATAGTTCTCAAATTTATTTGACTATAACAGACTTTTAAAAGTATGGTGTATTGGCAGAACACCAACAGGAATCATGAGATACACTACACACTTGGACTTAAGTAGGCACATAGAAAAATAATCTTAGATTAATGGCTAGAAAACTTGAATCATAAAATAGAACAGAAAGAAAATTAAATCACTTCATTCTACAAAACATAACATAAATATGTTAAAATAATAAGAAAATATTTGACAGTAATATGTTTCATAATCATAAAATCATCCAATAGATTATATACAGTTTTGCAACAGTAGGCTCACATTAGTCCCATGGGTCACATGCCATGTATCAAGTAGTTCTCTCATTGGACTACCTGGTTTTCCTATTTTTTAAAGTGGGAGATTATGTCTTAGAAACAGTTGAGTAAATATGTTTGAAATTTTTCGTATATTCTATAAAAAAGAAACATGAGAAAAACATACCCGCATTGAAATGCTTCCATCTACCCTCGGGGTATAGCTAGAAAAATGATCATCTGGAAAGTAGTGCTTGGATTGTCTCTATCTAATTTCATGTTTGCTTCTTGATTGTCTTCATGCTGATTTGAAACTGGAACTGAACTAAACTGGGGGGATGGGAACATTTCAATTATAGCCTAAAAGGGCATCAGTGCAATTAATCACAAATTGAGGAGTGGGTGGGGAAGAAAGGAGATACAGATAGTACATAATCTTCAAGAACATACTGCAGATTTAGAAACCCTCGGCTGCCTTAAATTCATAAAACGTTTCAGAGCCTCAGCCATCCTTTTGGCTGTTTGCCTGGCTTTTGTTAACCAATACCTAAGAACTATTTGAATTTCAGCTTGTTACAAAAGGACATTAATGCTAGGGTAAACTTGCCTGAAATAAAATATTTTGTCAAGGTATTGTTCTTCCCTTTCTCCTCTTGTGAATGAATTTGTGCTTTCTTTAATAAAACATTTGAGCAAAATCTCATGTGCTCTCTCCTGGCTGTTCCTGCAGTGAGGTCATCTGGTTGGGCATGTGCAATGATGTCATAATTGGCATCAAGTTTACCCTGCAGGTTCAAGGTGACTAAATTAGAGGTGAGAGAAGAGCATCCTGGGGTAGATAACATCTTCTAATTAGCAAGAATTGAAGAGCTTTTAATGGCCATGCACAACTTTTAGAAAATTTATCTCATATCATTAAATGAAGCAACATGTGTGTCAATCACCCCAATACCTGGCGCATAGTGAACACTCAGTAAACGTTGGCTGTTATAACTGGTTTTATGTCGTGTCAGAATTCCTGTAATGAAAAGAGAGTAATGGGAAAAAAAGGAGCATGCTGAAATTCAGATGCAGTCAGCCAACAACTTAATCTCCATTGTAAATTTACTCAGTACATTAAACATCCTGATATAAACATTCAGCATTGGCCATTCAATCTCTGACATCTGAATGAAAGGCTATTACATGGAAAGTGCATTTGGGGTCACCTCTTGACCTTTCATGATTTTGAATGTGAAGGGGGATACCAGGGTGGCCAATAGAAAGCAGAGAGAGAACTAGTAAGAAGTTCCCATTTTTTATTTAAATTTGATAGCTTCTGGGAAAAAGATTTACACCCATACGTAAGATCTGCCATCTTGTTGTTAAACACTGCCATTCTGAGGCTGGGATTAAAAAGTGAAACTAACTTGGAAGATAATACTGGAGGTTGGTTTTAGGTGAATCGGTTTTAAAGCTATCAAAAGGTCTTCTGTCCTGGAAAATTTATTTCAGCAGGATGTATTTGGTTATTTTGAAATAAGGGATTAGGAAAATAAAAGAGTAAGAATAGTTCCTATATGTAAAGACTTTATCTTGCCTTGAAGTAAGTTATGGTTAAATGGTGAGGAACTTTGCTCTCCCTGATGGAGGGTTTTGTTTTGCCTTTTTTTTCAAGAGTAGAATGATATGGTTTAGAAGTTCTTTTATAAAGGGAGATGATGCACACTTCTGGCAGCTGAGTGCAGTCTGTTTCGCGCTTTACTCTGTAATTGAGAGGCATGTTAATGTCCTCATAAAAGACATTTTGCTGCCTCTTGTTTAAATGCTCAGCTGTTCTGGGGCCCGTTATTTCCCCCAGGCAACCAGTGACTGACTGCAGTCAGCAGGTTTTTATGGCATTAACAGCAGTTTGCTCTTTTATTTTTAATGTGATTCTTAATCCCCCCCTTTTTTTGTAGGCTTCGGCAACCGAGAATAGCCTGGCAGCCCAGTCCACCCCTGCTAAAGATGACTCCCATAAGCATTTGTTCTTAGAGCTGGGGGGTAAGGTTCTTGTTCTGTATTCTGTATTCGGTCAGGGTATTTCCCCATTGCTGTCAGTACTGAGAAAGTAACATACTACATCTAGGATTTAGCCGATCAAATCTTTCACTTGGTTTTAAGAATTGATGCTTGAATACCCTTCACACTGAATTTCATGGCTTAGAGAGAAGTTAAATTCAAATAAATATGATTAACTTGGCACAGATGGAATACTTTTGAGGTTTCTCTCATTGAACTTATCCTACCTTTTGGAACAAACCTTTTCAGGGTTAAAACTGCAAAAACTAATTTTAAAGCTTCATTATAATGTAAATTTGGCCAAGAAGGATTTTATTCATTTATAAGGATAAAGAATTGGTATTTGAGTAACCTTTTAAAAATATCTTTCCCTACTTATCTAAACATGTACTATATATAGTCCACCCTCTAGACAGATTCTAGAGATTTTCTTGTTGGTGCGAATTTTGATTTTATTTTGGATTCGTTTTGAGCCTCACTTCTCCAAAAAACAGAAGCTTTTGGCTTTTTTCTTTACAATTTCCATTTTGTATTTTTATTTTCTTTTTAAATATATATTTTATCTTATCCATTATCTTTTTATTTTTATCTTTTTAAATATGTGGATTTGTATGTATAGTTCCTCCTCAGGTTAATGAGTTTACTAGACCCTGAAAACTTAGCAACTGAAGTATAAGTATGAGCTAGCCAGATCTCTAGTAAACCCTACCTTAAAATTTCAGAGAAACTCACTCTGCTTGAATCCAGGAACATTTATCTTATAATCGTTTTGCTTGGCCTAGAAATTTTTCTGAGTTTTAATTAGTTCTGCAAAACATTTCTTTGAAAAATAAGCCCTAATGCTTCAGTACTTTATTGACTTTAGTATTTCAGGAATCCTTTTGTGGTTCCTGAATAGCTGTGTAAATGACTTTTCTGTGCCTCTTCTGAGTTTTCTATGCAATAAATATATTGGCAGGAAATTAACTTACACAGGTGAAGTGTCAATGATTATGGAATTCATGGAGCCCTTTTCCATAATCTTCATCCATGGATATCTGCTCTAGGACTGACCAAAAAGTGTCAGATCAGTCACTCACACATGCACACACCCAGTATGATGTTTCTGCCCTCACATTCCCCCATTTTCCCAACTTCAGTTGAAGGAGTTGAGAGTTCTAACTACCAAAAAGTCATTAAAGTCTACAAACACCCTCAAAAGAAATAACAAATACTACAGGGCAGAAAGTGCTTCATCTGGGGTAGTTTGGATTCCTGCTGTATGTGGCAAAGGGTGAGAAAGCCTGGCTGAGCCACTGAATTTGTGAGAGAACTGGAGAGCACAGCATTTATTTAGCATTAGAATGTCCGTCACAGAAAAGCAGTGTTTTTCCTGGTGTTGAAAGATCTGTCAGTGGTGGAGGTGTCAAAACTTGGCTTTAAGGAGGAAGCTTTTCTGAGACTTCCCATGAGGTACTATAAAATGTCTTCCTTTTGTAACTCAAACAGGTAACTCCCAGGTTAAGAGTGAGGTTCAGCAGCCTGTCCATCCCAAGCCACTAAGTCCAGATGCCCAAGCCTCCAGCCTTTCTGAAAGTTCTCCTCCCAAAGCAGTGAAGGTACAACAGCAATTTCTCTCTGAGCCTTTAAACATTGGTTTGCTAGTAGAGCTCATTGCACCTTTTAATCATCATGTTCTTTATGACCTGTTTTTACTTTCCTGGGGATGAAAATGCCAAATAAGGGCATACTTAAGCCAGTCACTTTCTCTGGAAATCTTGCTGCTTCTACTCAGGTATTTGGGCCAGGAACGGGGAGGCTCACTAATATCCCTGTTTGAAATCTGAAAATTCATGAAAGCTTTAAGGAAACCTGCAGCTGAAGAAAATGACTTTCTTTTTTTTAAGTCCAAGTCCATAAATCTGTGAATGGGTGAAAGTCCACAAAATGAGAGATATGCAAAATCTGTTAAACTATAATCAGCCTGCCAGACAATGTCGGCTTAAAGATAGTGGCTCCCTGGTCTGAAGAACCTGACCATAAGCTCCCTGGTCATAAGAACTTGAACTTGGTGGTTAGCTGATTTAAATGAAAGAATGTGTGTATTGAAATGGGAGTTGGCCAGTCCATTTGCTGTAAAAATGGGTGTTCAAGTAACACTTATACTAGGGTATGTAATATTATACGGTAAAGAATGAACCCAATTTTTGTACCCTAAGAGAATTTCATGAGGGTTCTCAATCTATGGCCTTCTTTTACTTACCAATTTTGAAAAATACTTACCAATTTTGAAAAAGTCTTTTCCCTTTCTATGAATATGTATTCCCATAAAAATAAACAAAGGTAAAAAGATGCCAACACCTCTTTTAGTCTAATTAGCTGACTTGCTTTAACTGAGCGCTTTACTAATGCAGTAAAATTTACTCACTTGGATTATTAATCAGACATGCCCATATTCTTTTGTGGCTTTCTTCTCTGGTGCTTTCATAAATAACCAGGTTTTCTTTCAGAAGTTTTAACACTTGAGAGAAATTCAATAGGTGGAATAGAATTAGTTTTAATATGGTTTGTACTGCCTCAACCTCATGCCCACATCTGCTATGCTTGTTTCTCTTGACTGTGGGCATGACTGATCCCTTGAGGAAAATTCTAGTGCACAGAAAGAATAAAAAGAAGAGGACATAGGTGAGGGTCTGGAACAAAGTAGGAAAGGGAAGAAACCATGATTTAAGGGGTGGATTCAAAAAGTGAGGGGGGAGGGGGAAGACATAAACCTGAAAATTTTAAAGGAAGCAGAGGTTTGTGAGGAGGGTAATTAAGGCTTATTGAAAGGGTGCAAAAAGTAAAGGAAGTAGCAAGAGGGGACAAGCAAACAGAGAAAGAACTGAGTACAGTGATCAAATCTGCACATGTATCCAACATGACCCAGCCTTCTGGCCTTAGCGATCTGCTTATGCTGTCGTCAGCACTTTCTCTTTCCAGTATCTGGAGTCCAGTAAAGTAGCAAATGCCAGGAGGTTAATTTCCTCTCCAACAGCAGCCCTTCCCGGATGCGAACCCTTGGGTTGTGGTTCTGGATCAAGAACAGCAAAGCTGACTTGGCCATGAACTGAGGGACTAGGGAAATTTCATGACAATCTAAGAACTAAACTCTGTTCTTGAGTATATTTGAATTCTCCACCCAGTCTTACTTCCTTTCCTCACCTGCTAGGCCAGATCTCCTGGTACTGGGTTGGACCTTTGAGATCCCTTCTGATTCAAACTCCAGGGTCTGACCTTATAAGTGATGTAAGACAGAGTGCCTCTCACTTAGCTCCTCCCCAGCACACCAAGGGGAGGAGATGGAATAAGGCTCCCTCTGCACGTGCCCCAGACCTGTGCCTGCTTCTTTGGTGCAGGTCACTCAGCAGTAAAATGCAGATAGGCCTGCTTTCACTGGACATATCCTTCAGATTTTGAATGTTGTATAAAGACCAAAGTAAACTGGCCTCACTTCCTATGTTTGCCTACAGTCCAAAGCTCAAATGGCTATCGTGTACAGAGCCAGGGGTGGGACCCAATCATATCTCCAGTGTTATTTAAGGGCAGTATATTTTCTTTTCCTCCAAGTTACCCTTTACATTCTACAGATAAATATATCAATGCTTTAGTAAGTGTTTATAGGAAGACCTGCTGACACAACTGATCTCATGGCTAGAGACCATACAACAGAAGTTGTTTCCTCATCTCAGGAAATTACAGCTAAGAATAAACTTGTTCACTCAGAATAGATTTTTGGGTCCTACACATCCTGGAAAAACTATTCCTTGGTGCCTGTCTGTTATTGAAATAGGACATCTAAGGGAGAAACTCAATTCATTTCAAATTTTAGCTTAATGAAATTAAAAAAAATGATACTGGTTTGTACAAGTAAGGGTTTTGTATAGTCTGAACACTGGCCAGATAACTCAGTTGATGAAATGTGGTGCTAATGAAGTTGAAGTTGCAGGTTCATTCTCAAAAAGGTGTTGCTCTGGGAACAGAGGTCAGTGAACCCTGCGAGAAGGATCAGGATCTTTCTGCTCAAGAGCCCCAAGGGTCTCTTAAGCTTTATGTCCTCCCATTGAAAGAAAGTATCCCCTAAATATTCCCAGAGAGGAGGATAAGGGAAGAAAAGGCAAGGAGATGTGACAGGTCCCAGGATTACCCACTTGCCCCCACTGTGTCCAGGACAACCCGGTCCCAGGCTTCCTGAGCTGGTCCTGATACATGTGGAGAGAAATCATGGTGGACTGCATGAGAGGACATGCACTGTGGGGACCCCTCTGTGCCCTCCCGGCTGTCCAGGTTTTATGCTGTTTTGCAAAACTACCAAATTGTGCTAGACAGTCATCTAGAATCTAGAATCTTTTCTATCTTCATCATTACTGCTTTGTCAGAACACTAACCTTTCCTCTCCATGTAAAGCCATCTATTTATAGATGTCTATTTATAGAATAGCCCCAAAATGCTTTCATTTTTATGCTTCGAAAGAGTTTCACAGAAAGCCAGGGGAAGGATTAAGGCTACACAGAGCTGGCCCAACCATTTATTGTGTGAAAATTTTCAGTTTTATTATCTAGATATTTTGCACAAATTGGAAAGGAGGAAAAGAAAGGCATTTTGTGGTGTTCTAAGGAATGAAGGCCTGACATAAACATAGAATTTTCTTCTGATTTCAAAATGTCTAAAATCCAGTTGGCTTCACTGCCTGTTGCTAAGTTCCCCACCTATATATATAATATATATATGAATCTCCCAACTGGAACCTTCATTAAACTAAAAATATATGTAAAACAAGAGGGTGAAAGAATGTAAATGAAGCCGTGCAAATTTATGGGAAAATAACTTTTAAGTAGATGCTGATCAGTAGAGGACCTGCAAGATTCCTCATATGGGATAAACATGTTAATGAACATCAATTATTTATATATTACCTCATTCATTCCTGAATTTCCCAAAGATATTATCTGTATATTTTAATTTGAAACAAAGCAAAGAGCTATGGTTTGTTCAAAGTGCTATGGTGAGATTATTTTCATTTGGGATGACATCTGCTCTCCCCCAAAGAGTTTCCTTTAGTCATGGAAATTTAACATCCCAGGACAATTTAGAAAAAAATTCTCTATTGGTTTGTGAGTCTGGAGTTCTGAGTTTTCATTTTAATTCTATTAACTGACTGTGTGAGCTTTGATAAGGTACCTTAAATCTTGGTGCTTTAGTTTCTACGTGTGAAAAATGGTGAGGGAGAGGAGATGAAAAACGTCTTACTAACTGGAAAAATATATTTTCAAGATAAAAATGTCTAATGAATATTGGCAGTATTTTAAATGTGGCTGTGCCAAGTCCAAGCATGCCATGAAGGCATGGGCAGGATGTATGCCAGGCTTACCATAATGGTAGAGATTTTTGGGCACTGACTATGCTTCCTGTTGTCTGAATAGACATGGGGGCAATTACAGAAAAGTGGCTGAGTGCCCAGGACAGAGGAAATAAAGGGAAGGCACAGCCATAGCCCCGCTGACTTGGCATATTACCATATTGGCATCCTCTTGTTTTTATGAAACTATAAGCACCCTTGGGCAGCTGGCTCGTAAACCTTACATAATATTGGAAAAGGTTTTTGTAAAAATCAAATAAGAATAATGGGAGTTGGGTAGGTCTGGCTAGTTAGAAGCTTGCGGTTATCAGATGTTTGAATTAACAGTCTATTAATTTGATGTTAAACAGTAGGAATGACTTTTTACCTGTATGGCTGAAGGCTCCATGCCAGAGAGCCATGGTGCATCAGGTGTGGGAGGTAGGAAGACACTAAGAATTGTTAGTGAGACTTTCTTTGTGTGGATGAAGGCTCATAAAAGCTCTCTCCTGAGCTGGGACATGTTCCAGCCTCAGGTAGATATGAGTGAGGGTGATTTTGCCACGATTAGCAGAGTAACTTGAAGAAGAAAGAAAACAGGGTCCTGTTCTTGGATCTGAGTCTGTAACTGAGCTTCAGCTCAGCTGCAGTGAAGCACTCCAGCACTCACCAAATGCTGTGTATTCACTGAAGGTTCCTGTTTGTCTCTTCCAGCTTCTGCTTCCTGCTCCGGTACCTAATTTCTGCTCCTGCCTTCCACTTTCCTCCTAATGTGAGCTCAACTTTCAGCTTTCTCTCAGGTTCTCCTTTCTATTCACTGGGCTGTACCCTCGTGCAACAGCGTGTTCTGTCTGCGTGTTTGTAAGGGAGGCATGTTTTGTGGGCCTCCATTCCCCTTTAGCAGAATAATATCCAGTTCCTTTTATACCATGTGAAATTTCCACCTCCTGCTCTGTCTTTATGACCAGAATAAATATTCTCCTAAGTCCAGTGTTAAAAATGCAGAATCCACCCTACAGCTGAAAAAGATTTTCAATTTAGTAAATACATTTAGCCTAGTATTTTTACATTATGTGAATTGTGATTTGCACAGGCTCTCCAGTGGGTTCAATTGTATTGTTACACCCAGATTTATTCTACATTTTCATGTGTTTGTTTGCAACACAAGAATCTAATCCTTTCAGAGAAAACCTAATTAAAACTATGGTAGGACATCTCCACTTAGGTCCTATCTTGTTAGAAGTGTCCTTGCAAGAAAAAAAATCCTGAGCTCCAAATAATGCCCCTGATTACTTCCAACAACATTCAATACAGTAGCATTCAATCATATTTAATACCTGTTTATGCTTGGTAAACTAGGTTGTAGCCTGTGGCCTTTGATTCCTTTTAGGACTCTAACCCTAGGAATAGAGAGGTGCTATTGACAAGCCATTTCCACTCAGTTCTGCTCCTTCTTAAATCCCTCTGTGATGTTTGGGAGTTTACCACTAGTTTCAGTTAAATTCCTTCTATACATCTTTCCCCTTACTCCCATTTTTGTCCATTTTCTACTCTCATTTCCTGCCCAAATCTACTTGGAAAACCATTCCTATTTTTTGCTTTACTTTAGAGTGAAGCATGTGGCAAGTGAACCAGCAGTCTGAATTTTTTATGGGTCTGTTTGGGTGTTTTTAAAAAACTCATTCTTGCCCATAACCTGATTTATTGTAGGCTTACCTTAATCGTTCAGGTCTTGGGCCTTGGAACTGATTCACATTAATTACCTCCACGTTGGTCTTGGCATCCAAGGGGCTACCAAGGTACCTGTGAGGGCCTCCCGGCCACCTTGACCTAAGCTGCTTCTGCATTTGCTGGCTGAGGTGTTTTCTGTTTTGGCAAGTCAAGGGTTACTCACACACACCTAGAGACTCTTATCCCCACCCCTAGTAGCCGTGTAACCATTTCTTATATAAAATCTTACAGTTTTGGAATTCTGGCTTTCATCAGTGCTAGAACACCAACTATTTTATATCCTTTAGGATTGGGTTTACCAGCTAGAACAGCTGTGCTCACCCAGTCCTTCTTCCACACTTTACATTTGTGAATTCCCAGTCTATTATGACCTCCTCCTCCCCATTATAATAGTTTTATTCTCCTTTGCTTTTTAAAAAGATTATAGAACCTATAGCTTTATTGAGCTATGCTTTCAAATGGAGTCCTAATGAAATAATTTATGTCTCTTTTAAGTTGTTTCATTTATATGGGTTTTGATTTATTTGAAAATGTTATGCCTACTGGACTGAGCAAGTCAAGATTATAAGCAGAGTAGATTAAAAGATGCTTTATCAAAGTGTCTTTGCCTAGTTTCCAAAGCCAAATGCTCTTCCTCTACTTGAAATTTCTCCCCTTCAGAGTCGTTGCTATACAAGTCTGTCCTGCTTTTACATGGCACTTGAATCAAACAAACTTCTTTCTTCTGTGTGTGTGATGATATTTTCTACTAATCTCCTGTCCACAGAAACATTTTGTGTGTACTTTTATGTGTACGTAGTGGCTTGTCTAAGCCTTCTCTGCAATCTAGCCCTAACTCCACCCATCCTCGGGTACTGCTACACTTAGAACAGCCAGACACCCTGGGAAGGGAATTCAGGAGAACCTTTTGGCTTTAAAGAGTCAGCTGACAGAATTATAGCAGGCTTAGTGTTCCTATGAGAATTGACAGGCTAGGTAGAGGAAGGAACCCTTAGATAACAAAGTAAATCCCAGGGCCCATCTCAGCAGTGTGCTAACTCATCACTGCCTTTGCTGAAGTTGTCCTTTTCTTTTTCCTTTTCCTAGAAGTTTCAGGCCCCTGTGAGAGAGACCTGTGTCGAATGTCAGAAGACAGTCTACCCGATGGAGCGTCTCTTGGCCAACCAGCAGGTGTTTCACATCAGCTGCTTCCGTTGCTCCTATTGCAACAGCAAACTTAGGTATGCCAGACCAAAACAAGTCATCTCTCTGAATAACTGGACCTCCGGAGGGAGTCTCTGGCTTGTAGAGCACTGGTATTAAAAGTTAGTGCACTAATAATGTACTGTTGAAAGCCCTTGAAATAAGTAAAAAGTACCATTTAGTGACAGGTATGCCACATGAAATGATAGTGATGTTTGGAACTTCTTGGTACATTGATATGTTAATTTATGTGTTAAGACTGAAGCTTAAATCTATGGGTTGTAGGCCCCCTGTGCCCTAATTTGGTAGAATGTTTTCTCTTGGCATTATAAAATCATGAAGTTAAGAAATCTCAACAGGATACTTTTCTAAGCCCTTACGTCAAAATGTCCCAAGCACTATAAATGATGAAAACAGCAATAATAATAGACCCTGAAGAACATTTATTTTTCCATATATTCTTTCATTTTCTTAGAAAATAACTTATGTATCATTTTTTTCAAGTATCTCAAAGTATGGTTATACATGTGGCGAATTGGTAAAGTAACTCCATATTAACTCATGTTAATCATAGTCTTAGAGAAGGAAGTAACCAGGATGTCACTCCTTCCTGCCTCCCTTCCAGGGCAAGCATCCTTTCCAAAATACTATTGAAAGATGTCCTGGCATCTGCATGCCACTTATTTGGAGGGTGATAGCCCACTGCAGCTAGTTCCAGTGTTAGCTCTAGCTCGAAGGCTTTCCCTTCTTTGGGGCCAAAATGTGCCTCTCTAACTTCCATTTGCTGGTTCTTTTTCTGCCCATTTTTTTCTCCAAAGCACACTTTTCTAAATTTTTGAATTTGTATATTTCCTCTGTGGAAGTGCTGTTGTTTTTATACCCCCTTTAAAAATTGTTACCCTGCAAGAGACACCAAGTCTCCTAAAGGCCTGCCCAGCACCGACACTAGGGTCGACTGACTTCTTGGCTACTGCTCACCACACACTCATGAGCCCATACCTTACTTTTATACAAAGGAATATCCTTATAAGTAGTTAAGGGTTACAGATACTTGGGAAATAGATGAGTGAACAGAGCCAGATGGGATTGCCTAGGGAAAACCTCCTGGAAGAGGTAATTTTAACAGTTTTGACAAAGGGGAGTGAAGTCATTTGAAAATGGGAGCCTGTACCAGGGGCAAGAATGGCTTGTGAAGGTGCAGACCTGGAAGTGAACATGTTTTTTATAAGGATAATAGACCAAATGTGCTTAAAAGAGGGGGAGAGAATCCTAGGTGATTGATGTGCTTTTAAAGATATTTTTCTCACTTAACATCTTCTGAAAATACTGGAATTGCCAAATCTCAATTCAGTTGCTGGCATAAATAAGAATATACAGATTTGTTAACTTGATGCTCTTTTTCTTTTAACAACAGTCTAGGAACATATGCATCTTTACATGGGAGAATCTATTGCAAGCCTCACTTCAATCAACTCTTTAAATCTAAGGGCAACTATGACGAAGGCTTTGGGCACAGACCTCACAAGGATCTGTGGGCAAGCAAAAATGAAAATGAAGAGCCTTTGGAGAGACCAGACCATCCTCCAAATGCAGGGGAGACCCCTCAGAGCCCAGGAGTAGAAGATGCCCCCATTGCTAAGGTGGGTGTTCTGACTGCAAGTATGGAAGCCAAGGCTGCCTCTCAGCCGGAGAAAGAGGACAAGCCGGCTGAAACCAAGAAGTTGAGGATTGCCTGGCCGCCCCCCACTGAACTTGGCAGTTCAGTGACTGCCATGGAGGAAGGGATCAAAGTATCCAAACCCAAATGGCCTCCAGAGGATGAAGTCAGCAAGCCTGAAGCTCCTGAGGATGTCGATCTAGATCTGAAGAAGCTAAGACGATCTTCTTCACTAAAGGAAAGGAGCCGCCCATTCACTGTGGCAGCTTCATTTCGAACCGCCCCTGTCAAGAACTCAAAAACCTTGTCCCCACCTATCAGGAAAGGCTGGAGCATGTCAGATGAGGAGTTTATAGGAGTAGTAGCAGCTGAAAGAAAACAAGTAGAAAATGCCAACACCTCCGAAAAGAATGGGAGTGTGGGAAAAACAACTTGGCGAGACAAGGAATCTAACGAAGGGGAGACAAGGAGGAGAAGTAAGGAAGTTCATGGTTTTGAGATGGGGAGTGACAGTCTTGTAGAAAATGGTGCAAACTTAGATGAAGATGATAGAAACCTTTTCAAACAGCAGTCTCCACTAGAAGCCAAGTCTACAGATTGGTCCAGCTTTGTAGACACCACCACCAATGAAGAATTCACTGCTCAGAATCAGAAATCTCAGGATGTGGGATTCTGGGATGGAGAGGTAGTTGAAGAGCTGTCTGTGGAGGAACAGATAAAGAGAAATCGGTACTACGATGAGGGTGAGGATGAGGAATGACAAAATGCAATGGTGCTGGGCCTTAAATTTAGTGTTAGTGTTAGTAAGCCACTGCCCTTTATCAAAGTGATGCATGTAAACAGGTATCAGCATGAACAGTAATTTATGTGGAAGTAGCTTTGGAAAAGAGTTCTTACTTCAGAAAAATCCCATACTGCAGCTTAAGTGAACCAATTCTAAGTGCTAGAGACAATATTACTTAAATCCTCTATTTTAGTAATGATGATATACACAAGTTCTTTAAGGTCTTATGAGGGGGAGGAATATTCCAACTGATACAGTCCAGATTCTGCTGTATTCCCCAAAGGCAATAGGAAAATAGGTGATTAGTAGTACACTGTTACACTCAAAATTCAATTATAGAATTAGGGAACATATAGAAGGGATTTAGGGACCTAAACATTATAACTGAATGCACTTTAGTATAAAGGGCACAGTTTGTGTATTTTTAAATGAGTACCAGTTTGTTTAGTGTTCATCTATTGAGAAATCAAATTAGTAGCAGCTGAAAGAAAACAAGTAGAAAATGCCAACACCTCCGAAAAGAATGGGAGTGTGGGAAAAACAACTTGGCGAGACAAGGAATCTAACGAAGGGGAGACAAGGAGGAGAAGTAAGGAAGTTCATGGTTTTGAGATGGGGAGTGACAGTCTTGTAGAAAATGGTGCAAACTTAGATGAAGATGATAGAAACCTTTTCAAACAGCAGTCTCCACTAGAAGCCAAGTCTACAGATTGGTCCAGCTTTGTAGACACCACCACCAATGAAGAATTCACTGCTCAGAATCAGAAATCTCAGGATGTGGGATTCTGGGATGGAGAGGTAGTTGAAGAGCTGTCTGTGGAGGAACAGATAAAGAGAAATCGGTACTACGATGAGGGTGAGGATGAGGAATGACAAAATGCAATGGTGCTGGGCCTTAAATTTAGTGTTAGTGTTAGTAAGCCACTGCCCTTTATCAAAGTGATGCATGTAAACAGGTATCAGCATGAACAGTAATTTATGTGGAAGTAGCTTTGGAAAAGAGTTCTTACTTCAGAAAAATCCCATACTGCAGCTTAAGTGAACCAATTCTAAGTGCTAGAGACAATATTACTTAAATCCTCTATTTTAGTAATGATGATATACACAAGTTCTTTAAGGTCTTATGAGGGGGAGGAATATTCCAACTGATACAGTCCAGATTCTGCTGTATTCCCCAAAGGCAATAGGAAAATAGGTGATTAGTAGTACACTGTTACACTCAAAATTCAATTATAGAATTAGGGAACATATAGAAGGGATTTAGGGACCTAAACATTATAACTGAATGCACTTTAGTATAAAGGGCACAGTTTGTGTATTTTTAAATGAGTACCAGTTTGTTTAGTGTTCATCTATTGAGAAATCAAATACTTAGTCTTTTAAAAAATAAATTTTAGGTTAATTTTCTTACTTTGATATATATGGGGGAATTAACTGCTTTGCATCCTGCTCTGTAAATCACGTTCTGAACTGGATTATGGAGATATAACTTCTTTTTGGAGCACCTTTTAAGCACCTTTGGTGCTTGGAGAGATCCACTGTCTCCCAAATAAGCTATGGTATTTGCCAGTGAGTTTGGGTACACTCCAAGTGACTGCCGCTTTCTTTGGTAGTATCTGTGCTTCTCATAATTTGCAGAAAGCTACAATATTTTTGTAAGATCGTTTATATGGCCGTTTGCCATGCTGCACGTTAGTGCAAAGTGAGGAATTTAAAGGAGGAATAACAGAAAAAACACCTTAAATCACTTGAACTTAGACCTCCAAGCTCCGTAGTCCACTTCTGATATCCCTTTTCTCATGCACTAGTGTTTTGATACTTATCAGCTTTGAAATGTATTGATCTTTATGGCAGACAGTATCCCAGGGTGCAATTAAACCAATTATAGGCCTTTGGTGGTCGGGGTGGGGGGATGGTTTTCTAGTATTAAGGCTTTGGAATATGATAATTTGAGTACATTTGTTATACGTAATTGATATTCCAAACTTTATGTGGGAAAGGGGTTTTAAGCTATAGGCTTTTCTTTATACCGCATTTTTAGAGATTCAGTTCTAATACATTTTAGAGATGTAAAATAATCTGCTTTCTTACAGTCTTGCTTTGTTTGAAACATTTTTATTCAATAAAGCTTTTAATTTGCATTTGGACTTTTCAGTGTTCCTTTTCCATTATTATTTTACATTATTACAGTCTCTCAGGACCTGCTTTTACCTTAACAGTTTGGGAAGAAAAGGCAAATGAGTCTGATGCCCCAGAAGCGTAATGCTATGAATATATCTCTCCACTAGGTGGTGGAGTTGGGCTGATCGTTGACGTTCCTCCTCCCTAATGGTAGACAATCTTTTTTTGAAAATTGAAAGCAAACTTGCAAGAAAATTAGTGTGTACATTCCAAATAAGCCATTCATTTTACCAATCCAAAAGCCAGTGGTGGCTTTTTATTGTTAATTGTACTGAACACTTAATAATTCAGCATACAATTATGCCTAACACGCTTAATGGAATTTGCAGTGGCTCCTGCTGAAAATGGATTTGGTTGCCACTCTGGGCAGAGGCATAGTTGGTTGGTTGATTTCCTTGCCTGTTCAGGCAACAATTGTTAAGGCACTTTTTTTTTTCTAGTGGGAATGTGGGAGTATGGATTTCCTTGAATATAGGCAAGCTTTTTGAGTCATCTTGTTACATGTTCAAGGGTCTTTAGGCAGTTCTGGGGTCTTGCCTGGTCTTCTAAGTGAATGGCAGGGTACTGCTTTCTGCTCTTGGCCCCACCACACGCTCAAGTCATTGAGAAACCCCAGTTTACTGAACAGCTAATCCAGAAGCTCCTGCTGACATTCATAAACTATTCAATCTTGGCTTGAGTTTAGCCACTCTACTGTATGGCTCACTGCTACTCTATCCCATCCACACAGTACTTACTATGTCCACTGACTTGATACAAAAAGCCTGAGCTCTATGGCTGGCATTTATGGATATCAGTTAAATGTGTCACCATATATATCAAGTACATCGGGACTGAAGTTATCCTTAGAAGAACCGTTTTCTTGGCCCTTCAAGGGCTAAGATAGACACATTATGGTATAGAGAGTAGCAACCAGGACTGGCTCTATAATCAACATAATAAAAGGATGTCCTTTTTAAGAGAATGACCACACAACTCTAAATGTTCATAGAAAACAAAAAAACTTACAGTCAAACAAAAGTGTTTATTGTTTATTCTCTCAGCTCTCTGAATGGAGACAACTTGTTTGGACTTGGTATGTCAATGATGGCAATAGGATGATGTGAGTTTTTCTCTTGGTGAAGCAGAAAAAGGGGCCAGGTTGGGATCTGAGAAGGTTAAGGAGACTGCATGACTGGTACAGGACCCACCAGCTTGCTGGTCAGATTACTCCTGGCCAAAGCTGAAAGTTGCACTAACTTTGCTTTCATTCATATTTCATCAACAGTGTGTTTTCTAACAGTCCCGAGATTGAGAAATTGTACAAATGTGTTTTTCTAGAGATAGATCTTAAGACCAAGATCATTGTGTGCTAGTTCCTGCATACCAACATGGTCTCTGTTCCTTCAGGGCTCTGATTTGAATTCCATGGGATCAGGGAGAGTTTCTTTTTTTTTTTTAATGTATCTTGAATATAGGGTAGTTACCATTAAGCTATTGCTGGGTTTGGATGAAAATGGCCACAGGCAGTGGTTCTCAGACCAGCAGCAATGACATTGCCTCAGTTTGTTAGAAATGAGAAATACAAATTCATGGGCCCTACCCTGAACATCCTGAATCAGAATCTCTTTGGATGGGCCCCAGAAAACTTTTAGGAAACTCTCCATGTAGGAGATGGGACAAGCTAATGTCTGAGCTGGGGCACACTAAAGTTTGAGAACCGCTGAGCTAAAGCAAACCTTTTCGGCTACTCCTTAAGATGGCTCCTTTTCCCCCCTTCTCTTTCCTTGAAACTCTTTACTTCTGCTGTAAGTATGCCTTACTAGCTATAAAGTTACTCAGTCCTTGAACAAGAGATAGAGATTTAGTTCTTTTAATCTTACTTAGATCATTCTAGTTAGTTTGTAAACAGGTTTTGAGAGAGAGTACCCAGAGTTCAGGGTTCTTGGGCAGTTCAGGGACAATTTAGGGTTTAGTTTTTTGAAGGTTTCTGGTCTATGGCTCCTCTCCATTTATGTAGATCCAAAAAGAGCTCAGTGTTCATTATGGAAACCTAAAATTCAGGAGGTTCATAGGATAAGGGCTCAGGGTTCTGGAGTTTAAAGACTATAGTTCAGATGCACAGGTTTACCACTTACCTATATAACCTTGGGCAAGGTACTTGTGTAGGATCTGAAAAATCAAAAGTTAGCATAAGTGCATAAGTACAGCCATCTTAAAGGGTTAAACACCACCCTCTAGCCTAGGAGAAGGAAAATTATTAGAATCTTGAAAAACAAATTAGTCAGCCAGTGTTAAATGTAGTGACCCTCAGTTAGCTAACCTCAAATCAGTTAATCATGAACACCAGGTGGTGGGCAGCTGCGGCCTTCAGACAGCAAACCTTGGTCGGATAGTCATGCATACCAAGCTTATCTTGCTGAAACACTGTGTAAGAAAATACTGTCTTTTTTGAAAATGCTATGCTATAAAAACCTCTGGCTTTGGCTGCTCAGGGTCCTCGTTGAGACCCGCTGCGACGGGCTAACTTGGACCCCTGCTAGCTGGTTCCTGAATAAATTCCTCTTGCTTGTTGCATCAAGAGACGTCTTTCGTGAGTGATTTGGGGCAGCGTCCTCCTCTGGGAGAATCCAACACTTGACATCTCTGGACCTCAGTTTCCCCACCCATAAAATAGGAAATAAAAAAATTTCTACTCCATAGGAGTTAAATAACCTGTGTGAAATGTTCAGTGCAGTACCTGGCACAAGTTAACCACATTCAACATTGGCCATCATTTATTTTCCTTTTTCCTTTGGATATCTTCCATTTTCTTTTACCCAAAAGAAGAAAAAAAGGGTCTTCAAAAGTCCAGTTTAAGGGATAAAACAGTGAAACAAATAAAACAGGGGGTTGAGATCAAGGACTGGCACGAAGGAAGGAAACCGTTGAGAGCAAAAAAGAAAACAAAACCCTCCGGCTGTGGAGAAGAGTTAGGCGGGACCAGCTGAGATAAGCCCTATAGGGACGGCACAGGGAGTTGGAGAGGTAGGTATGGCCTGATTGGCAGCGGTCACAGCTTTTGAGTCGGCTGGGCGGGGAACGAGAAATGTCCCCATAAAGGGGATATGCCTGTAATAAGGGATGTGGCCGGAGCTGGATAGGACAGTGAGCGAGGAAGAGAGGCGTGGTGAAGCCGGCAGGCAGTAAGGACTCGGAGCCTGGATGGGTGGGCCTGGGAATGGATGGAGGCGGGGCGGGGGAAGGGGCGTGTCCAGGGCTGGGGGGCGGGGTCCCAGAGAAAGGAGGCCTTGGAGGCTGCGGTGAAGGAGGTGGGCGGGGAGGCGAGATGGGCGGAGGAGAGGCCCGGCCCCACCCGGGAGGCGGGCAGAGACGTGCCGGGGGCCAGAAGGGGCCGGAAGGGGGTGGCTGCCTCCCCGGCCCCGCCCCGGTGCCGCCTGCCCGCGGGGTCCGTTGGCTGTGGCTGCAGCTGAGGCTGTGGCGGCCGTGGCCGCGCGGCGGGCGTAAGATGGCGACAGCCGTGGCGGGATCCCTGGGCCTGCTGTGGGGCTGGCTGTGGAGCGAACGCTTCTGGCTACCCCAGAACGTGAGCTGGGCCGACCTCGAGGGGCCGGGCGACGGCTACGGCTACCCGCGGGCCCGGCACATCCTCTCGGTGTTCCCGCTGGCGGCGGGCGTGTTCTCCGTGAGGCTGCTCTTCGAGCGGTGAGAGCCCGCGAGCGAGCGGCGCGAAGGGCCGGGGGCGAGGGCCGGGCCGGTTGGCCCGGGGGAGAGGCCGAGGCCCGGAAGCAGAACTGCAGGGAAAGCCCGGAAGCAGGGGGCTGGGACAGCCTCGGGCGCCGCTCATAATGCTCGGAGGGTGGCCGAGGTGGTCGCGGAGCCTAGGTAAAGACAGAGAGTTGGGGGCATGGGCAGTGAAAGAGTGAGAATCGAGGGGGATCCTGCGCCCATTCAGTTTTAGATCCCAGTGGTCGCGTGAGAGTCTCACAGGTCTCCCAACCTCCAAAGATTCTACAGACAAGGAAACTGAGGGTGAGCTGTGGCCGAGAACCCGAAACCAGAAACAGGAAAGGGCCACGGAAACCAGAGCTAGTTGGGGGCACAGAAGCTAGAAGGGTCAACACAAGAGCCAGACGTTCCAAGCAAAAGGAGCGGGTTTCTGGGAATCCAAGATTTGTGAGGACATTTAAGTTTCTGAGAGTTGAGGGGAACGGGATTAGTTATGCCCTAAACTTTGGTTTGTCAGCTCATGGACGTTTGTATGTGTATATGTATTTCAATAAAATTCTGCCACAGCTGGTAAGAGAGTGTAAATGTAGGGTTAGGGTGTGGTGGAGCCTGAGGCTTCCAAAGTGGGCAGGTGACAGATCAGTTGCAGAACAGGCCTTGGAGGCCTGAGATCTAAGGAGGAGTGGTTATTTTGAAAGGATGGGGAGCTGTACGGTTTATTAGAGGACAGCTGTATTGAGCCCGCTTCTAAGTGAGTTTAACAGAATCACAGCATACTTTGACCATGTGTTACTGGTAAAAGTGATGTCACTTTTCTTTGAGTGGTTCATATCTGCCTATCTAAGATAACGACTTTCACTGAGGGTAGGTGCTAATTTTGTAATGTAGACTTACAGCTGCGGGTGATTTTAAATCAAGTCTACACAGACTTCAGGAAAGGAGACCTTTTTTTCACATAGGTCTCAGGTAATGAGGATGGATGGCACTTTGAAATCTTGTTCATTCGGCCTTTAGAGCAGGTGTGCCCTTTCTAGGATGGGAATATATTCACCTAAAATTATCTGTGCTCTCTGAAAAATTAGTATTATCTGTTTTGGATTATTTCTTTGATGTGTCTACTATTTCTGACAAAAATCTTTCAAAGATATTTGTTACATGTAGCTAGCTTGTCATTCATCCATTTAATCATAGTATTTGTGTATTGTCATTAAAGTGCTCTGCTAGATTTTCTAAGTGCAAAAATAAAGATGCTTTTAACTGAAGCAAATGAAACCAAAGATCTAAATGCCTTTTTTGGGTCCTCAGGAACTTAGTCTTGCAGTGTTTTAAATATAGTCATTGTATTAAGTATTTCTTGGATGAAGGCACAAACTACTTGTCCCTCTTAGTAATCTAGGCCCAGGTACTCTTCACCTTGGCATCTGGGTATGAGGGCTGGAAAAGAAACAATGTAATGACTGAAAAAGAAAATACACCATTCAGGACAGAAAAAAAAAAATTCATAGTCTTAGGAAAAAATTCTCTGCTTTTCATATAAGCATATACTGATATGGAAATTTCTCAGTGTTAGTGGTAAGATGAAATAGCTCTTTACTTTATAAACACCCATTTTAAACAAACTTACATATATCTTCAAATTTCCAAAGAGTTCCCCCATATGGCTGTAAGGACTTGTATATCCCCTGGCAGAGCTACTGGAAAGGATCCTTTACCTGTGGGAATTCTATCTGAATGTTTCTATGGTTCTCCAGTGTCAAGGGACTAGGGACGGATGGGAATAGAGAGCTGAAAGCACTCTAGTATGATGTTCCTTGGCTAGTAAGGACAGGCACCTTGTTCATCTCATTTTGATCTTAGGAAAGTTTAACCCTAGAAGCAGTCTCGCCGTTTTGTTTTTCTGGACACCCTACTACCTTAGTTAGCAATAGAATTGATTGCTTTATTACCAATTCCTCTCTTGCTATGCTGGTTTTCCATAAAGGTAATAGAAGCCACTCTTAGAATATACTAAGAGGTATAACAGAAACATTGATACAGCTAGTTGTATTTCGCATACTTCTCAAATCCCACCTACTTAGCTTCTAGAACCTGTTCATGTAATAATCATATACTCTAAGAGCTAGAACTCCAACCTCTTTTTACAGACAGTAAACTAAAGGCTGATAAACATCCTACAAGTTTTCAGAGGTTTCATACTCACCTGGAGAAGGAGCTAGAACCAAGATGCAGGTAGTTTTTGCCAGTCCCTTAACTCTTGCCACTGTGTGATGTGGTCATCTTTTCCTCTTCCTTAAAGCCCTTTCAGGGGTTAAGATTTAACCTCCTGGTCCTAGTATTTTAGGATTTGAAGAACAAATCCATGCTCATCTTATTCTTGATTATTTTAATATAAGGTGTTTGACTTAACTTTGTTATTTTTTTTGCTTCAAGTTGTTCTGCACATTTTAATGAGTCTTGCACTATGCCCCTTGGTAAATTATCTCTATGTTGTTTTAAGAATCTCCCAAAAAATACAGAATTTACACTTTGGTCTTACTTGCTCTTACCTTCTCATCAACTACATTGAGCATTTATTTTTTAAGTTCCCACATTCCCTGGAGAACTGCAGCCTCATCTGATAGGGATGACTTGAAAAGCCGCCTGACCATGAATAAAGTGTATCTGAGGTAACTGTTCTGCTGAAGAACTGCAGATAGATTTTTACCTACCCAGGAATGGAGGCTTTCCTTTGTGGGCCTTGTTACATTGTGGTAGCCTACACCTTGCAAAATGCCTCGGGCATAGCATGTGCTCAGTAAATATTTACTGAATGTTTGAAAAGCATCACCCTATCAGATGCCCAGAATCTCGATCTTCAACCTGAAATAGATGTTTGGCTTGACTGAGAGAGGCAAAACTGTAATTCCTTTGTTTCTGTTTTTAAATTTCACCTTACTCTATTTATGTGCATGTTATAAGCTTTCTACAGCTTTCTGTCGCTCTGTACAGTTTCATTCCCTCCCTCCCTTTCTTCCTCTCCCATCTCCCCTCCTCCCATAAACGTATTCATGCTACCCTACCCTATCAAAAGAGGGATAAGAAACTCTTCCACCTGTTTTTTTTTTAACTTCTTTTAATACTATGTTGATGATTGAGACCTGAGGGAATGAGCATTCCAAGCTAGTTCCACTGTGTCTTACTTAAATTGGATTTTAAACGTAAAATTGTTTGAAATTTAATGTCTAGTCCCTTGAGCACTTGGGATCAAATAAGAGCTTGAGACTTAATAGTGACACTATCAGAGCTTTATTGGCTCATTTATTTTGAATGTAGTATTGCAATAGGAGGATTATGTTGCCAGAAGAAAATTATTTTGTCAATTATACAGGAGACAATTAGAGCTCTCCATACTGCTCATTCATTATTCCAGTTCCCTCTTCTCTCATTACTTCCAAGGCAGCCTCACTTGGGGTGACCAAAAAAGTCTTCTAAGTACCATTTTCTGTCATAGGGGACTAAACACACTCACTTGCTGGCATGTCATGTAACTGGCAACAGGAGTAGTGACTCATTTTTTTGTGCATGTTTCTTAACCCACTCATTTCATCTTCCTCTTGTAAGCCTTGCTGCCTCTGCTGCTTACTGCCCCCCTTTTTTTTTTCTTGCTCTCCCCCACTTCTGTTAAGTATAGGAAGAACTTTTTTCCTCTTCCTGACAGGCCTTCTGCCCTCTTCCCAGATCCATGACATGTCACAGCATAGTGACCCAGTGTTAGTAAGTCCTCCAGACTTGGGAGGGATGCGTGGGAAAGAATGGCCATAGCTTCTGACTAGACAGTAGGGGAAACTGCCCATTCCCCTGCATCCTGAAAGGTATTCTGTTGGGCATTATTGAATTGTAAATCACATAATTAAATCAGGTTTGCAGATGCAGCAGAGCAAGGTTGAAAAAGATGGTAATATGTCCCTGCCCTTTTCTAAGAATCCACCTTCTAATAAGCTCCAGATGGTCGGAAGCCATGTGTCCCTCCTCTCTCTGGGAAAACTTTAGCCAGCCCTTTCTGCATAGTGGGTATTGATGTTCTGCAGACAACTTTGAATACTGTCATGCCTGAGATCAGGTTCCTGGCTTATCCCTGGAGACATGATATTTGTCACAGAAAAGAAACAAGTTGGATATTTTTGCTTTAATTACTTCCTGATTCAGAAAATTGGGGTCTTCTAACTGGATAAAGAAAAAGTTAATGGAGAGGAGGCAGCAAGTGAAAGCTGTCCCTTCCCCATAGAGTGGAAGGGGAAGGTAGACCTATTTTGGCTTCTCTCCAGAAGTATTTTTTTTTAGGGTATGATTGATATACACTCTTATGAAGGTTTCACGTGAAGAAACAATGTGGTTACTACATTTACCCATATTATCAAGTCCCCACCCATGCCCCAATGCAGTCACTGTCCATTAGTGCAGTCAGTTGCCAGAGATCACTATGTCCCTTCTCTCTGATACACTGTTTTCCCCGTGATCCCCCACACCATGTGTACTAAACATAATACCCCTCAGTCCCCTTCTCCCTCCCTCCCCACCCTCCCTCCCACACCCCTTTCCTTTGGTAACCACTAGTTCATTCTTGGAGTCTCTGAGTCTGCTGCCATTTTGTTCCTTCAGTTTTGCTTCATTGTTATACTCCACAAATGAGGGAAATCATTTTCTCCAGAAGTACTTTTATGCAGATAAAAGCTGCCTTCCTTAAGAATTCACTTGAGTTTTGGGCTCTGTGTTTGACTCCACTCCTACTTTATCTTTAGGGAAGATAATTCAGATGTTACTGCAAAAGGAGTTAACACCACTTCTAACTACAAAAAAAAAAATGGAAACAAATTTTCCTACATACAAAGGTAGTTGTCTTAGATATGAAGAATTCTCTGAATTATCTAGAATTGTGCTATCTAGCACAGTAGCCACTAGCTAGTACAGTAGATACTAGTTTTGGGGGATTTCAGCTG